GGGGGGGAGGGGGGCGCCGCCGTTTCGCGGCATGCACTTGAGGGCGGACACTTGAGTCTCTGAGACAGCAACAGCACACTAGTTTTGTATATTCGAACCTGGGAGTTCCAGGGGTGTCAGTGAGGGGGTGGTGACACGTGCTGCATAAAAAAAAACGGTGCAAAACGCGAATTTGAGGCGATTCCTAACAACGACGGCATAGAGAGAGGAGAGATCGCTGCGTGTGCGTGTTGGGTCTAATCGAACGAGGAGCGCGGGCTACTCTAGCGGGTGCTGCCACGCGCGTAAGACACCAGTCGAAGCCAAGTAAGTTCCCTCTGTGTCGGTCCCGCCAGGAGCGGAGGGGTATTGCACAACGGCACAATAGCTATGTAGACGTCCGAGTGGGCCTGTCGCGGCGTATATGCGTGGTCTTGGTGTCTGAAAGGGGTTAGCAAAGTGGTGGAACAAAATTTAGCGCGGCCTTGTGCGCTTGCCGTCTACCCCCCCCCGCGCCCTCATGTACCGATGGTGGCCATGTCCTGAAAAGGATACATGGTCAATGGTAGAATAACTAATACATGTTGGCACGCAACACGTACGACCCCCCTGCCCTAATGGCGCACCCTCTGTGCGACTCGCCGAATACCTCGCGGCGGGTCGCGCTCGGTGATGTAAGAGGCTGGTCCGGTAAGACCCCGGCGTGCTCCGTCCCGGCGTTTGTAGGGTTGCGAGGGCAATGGTCTAACGACTACGGCATGCACGGCCCTTCAAGTCGCGCGCAGCGCCGACTTAGTCGGGCTGGTTGAACGAGCGAAGCGAGTACTTAGCCCGCCGCAGGCGGAAACTTTTTTGTTCGTCTTAATGCATCTTACACGTCACAAATACGTCCCCGGTTCGTCTAAGTACGTCTTGTATGCGTCTTGGCACGTCTTGTGTTTCTGCGAAGCGCGTCTAAATTGCGTCTTAGCGCGTCTAAAATGTGTCGTCGCACGTCGAAAATTGTGTCATTTAGGGAGTTTATATTGCATTTTAACGCGTCCAAGCATAACTTGCGGTGATCCATCCGCCCATCTACTCTCCACACACGAAGGTCGAAGCCGCCACTTACCACGGGGCTGACGACCCTCGCCATGGATTGGGCCGCTTGGTTGAGACCCAGGCTCCGTCCCTGCGTGGCCGGCGAGGCGTACCTGCTGATGAGGGCCACGAGGGCCGTGTCCGCCAGAGAGTAGCCCATGATGTGCACGGTGAACAGCTGTTCACGCGGTCCGCGAAAAAAAGCCAAGGGAAGGGGAAGGGAAGAGTCTTAGTGGGCAGGCGCCCGGGTACACTCCAGTAGGGGGGGCTGAGAGAGAGGCGAAGGGAAGGGGGTGGAAAGGTGTGGAGAGGGAACGGAAAAGGAATGGCGTGGATGAGTCGTGCGGTTGCGAGAAACAATCGGCCTTTCCCTCGAAATTTCTCTCACCGCAAAGTGCACAACAGGGTGGCGGCAGAAGGCGACCCCCACCATGCCGGCCGCGAGGCACATGTTCCCGGTGATGAGCATCATGTGCTTCCCCAGGAGCCGCACCAAGTGCCGCATTCCCAAGAGCTGCAGCACGCCCACGGCCACCCCGTTGAGGGCGAAAACCATCGACAGGACTGACTCGCCGTATCCAAAATTGTCCTGACAACAACAAAAATTAAGCGCGGTCAGAACGAGCGACGTTGTCCCCCCGAGGTCAGGGTTGTGCGTACGTGTGTTATCGGAGCGAGGGAATGTTTTATTTACCACAACGGTGGCGTCAGCGTCATGATAGAGGGAGCAGGTGGGTGGGTAGGTCGCACCGATCGCAGCAACTACCAGAGGCGAAACCGTAAGCCGCCCGTACTGATACAATAGCCCCTTTTGCGACAGATTCCCATTTCAACCCTCACACACCTACGAACGACGTCTTGAAGAGCCACATCCGTCACCCACACAGCCTACATGCGAATACTGTAAATTCGGGCGGCTTCTATGTTTTTTTTGCCTTTTTACATTCGGGGGGCTTGCTTCCATAAGTGTGGTTTTTTAGTGCGGGTGCCCGGTATCGTGCGGGTAAAATTGGCCGGCACAGATGGAACCATCAACATGGATAACACATTGAGTAGTGCGCGTGCCCGCTCTAGCGCGGGTGAAACTGCTAGCCACATACCCGCGCTAAAGACCCCCCCCCCCCCCCCCCCCCCCCCCCCCCCCCCCCCCCCCCCCCCCCCCCCCCCCCCCCNCTTTGTTTTTTTCCTCTGTTTTTTTTTTTTTGGCGGTAACCATGATGGTGGTCGAGTAGATCATGCTGTGCGGGGTGGAGACGTCTCACTCCGCGCAAGGGAGATGATCGCACCACGTTGTGTTAAAATGGTCAAGCACCCTCGAGGCAGTTACACAGTGCTTACAACTGTCTCAGGAAGTGAAAGCACCAGAAAATACATGAAGTCATACGCAGCTGTCATCCGTACGCAAGGAAGTAAGCACAAGATGCCGAACACCCTTAGCAGGATGCAGCGCACCCTTCATGCGACTCGCCGAACACCTCACGGCGCTTTGCGCTTGGTGATGTGAGAGCCTGGTCCGGTGAGACCCCGGCGTGCTCCGTCCCGGCTTTGTAGGGATGCGAGGTCAAATGTCTAACGACCACGGCATGCACGACCATGAGTACACGCCCCCCGCCCCCCGGCGTTTGCCATCGGGGTTGGGTTTTCGTCGCTTGGCAACGACGTTGTAAAACAAGCCAATCCACTTCGTGAGCTCGGCAACCAGGTAACCGTTTTTTTTTTACCTCTGTTTTTTTGCGGTAACCATAACGGTGGTCGAGGAGATCATGTTGTGCAGGGTGGAGAAGCCTCACTCCGCGCAAGGGGGACGATCGCACCATATTGTGTTAAAATGGTCAAGCACCCTCGAGGCAGTTACCCAGTGCTTATCACTGTCTCTGGAAGTGAAAGCACCAGAAAATACATGAAGTCATACGCAGCTGTCATCCGTACGCAAGGAAGT